CAGACTTGCCAAAAGCCCAGGGATGAAGGCTTTCACTTGGGACAAGCAGATTCAAATCAGCAATTCAAAATGATTCAGAGCAGGGATTCAAATCTCAGCCTCACATGCCGTAAGTACCCAATCTTTTAGTTGTTCTGGGATCTCTTTTTGATTCTCCCAACACCAAGACGTTCCATCCTGAGAATGTTTCCTGACAAAATTTGATCTAAATTGACATGTTGCATTTTTGCCAGCAACACATTTTCCAACCAAAAACAAGTCTTATTGAAAAGAGGTGCCCCATCAGGTCCAATACTAACAAGCAGCCGGTGAAAAAGGCGACAAAATAACAACTGGCTGAGTCCTGGTTAAGTCCCTTTTCATGACGTTAAACTTAGGCTGAGCTATTTCTATGCCAGAAGTGAGTAATTTTGAGAAGTGTGGAGCTAGGGCAGGACTGGCGAGAGCCATCCATTCCAGGAGCATTCCTGGCACGGGATACTTCAAAGCATTCTCACAGCATCTTTTCAGCAGCAGATATTATCAGATTGGTGCTGGAAACAGATGACATTCTTGAGGGGAAGAATTAAGGGGCTTGGTTTCATCATAGGCTGTGAATTTATCAGTAGAAGTCTAAACTAAGTCAGCCACGAGAGAAAGATTTAGTAATTGCAAAGAGAACGGTCAGCTACGGGGAGGCTGGCGAATAGCAGAACGGGTTTTGTGGCTTTCAGACATTCAAAGGGACTCACCGCACCACGATTCACTGAAAACAGCATATCTGGCTGCTGTACATATAGTTTAATGATGCTTTAGGAGTGCAGAACCTCTACAGCTCCACTGCAATTGCTGGGTGCCCCTCAACCTTCTAGAGGCACTGAGCACCTCACAGGATGAGGCCCCGAGAGAAAACCAAATAAGAAAAAATTACCTTTATATGGAACGATCAGTAGGTTATTTCCTGGTTTGGAAAGTAATCCCAGACCTCTGCTGGGAAAAGCTGTCTGCGTGTATGTTTTCACTCTTACTTGTATATGCAACGATGTTAAGATCAAGAGAAGAACAAATTTCATGGGAAAATAATGTGAATTCCCTTTTTCCCCTCTCTAATTGAATCTTTTAATCATTTTATTTAGCTCACAACTTGTCTTTGGCTACAGGAGTGCCTGTAAACATAACACCAGAGCACAGACGGCACAGACACTCACTCCTGTGTGCCTCTTCATTGCCATGTGGTCTGTGTGTATGTACCTGTGAATGGTGAATCCTGGCCCACTTAAGTCAAGGGGAGATTTATCATCAGTTTCAGTGGGGGGACACTGTGTGTAAAAAAGTAGAAAATTTAAATGTAAAATGTAAAGCTATTCGGTGTAGAGAAATGAAGTAGAAGAGCTCAATCCCACAACCTTTACTAACTGCCCTGTTTGCAATGTGGCCACTCCCAGGACAGAGATATGAAGAACAGTGTCCCAAAGCTTTTAGGCTGTGAGTCAGGCACATATTTCCAACATCCAGTAACATATCAGGCATCTACTAACTCACTCTGATCTATAGTCCGGAAAGGGTTTGAGCGATGCCTGCATCACATAATGGTACAGTGGAGCTTGTTAAGCAGTATCACGGCAAATGGAAGGTGCGAGTCTGCAAGGAACGGGACATGCTCCACAAGCCCCATATAACAGGTAGACATTGATAGCAGGCCTGTGTGAAGCAGCAAGTATTTGCTTCGAATTCAGATTTGAGCTATTTGGATGGACAGTGATTCAAATCACTATCCCGATTCAATTCAGCCGATTCAGATCTAGAGATTCAGCCATAGACTATGCAGGCAGCAGTACTTGATGATGCTAGACACTGCTGCCTCCAGCTGGTAAGTCGGTTGTGGTGGATGGAGGGGGGAGAGAAGGGGTGTGGGGGTGGGGGGCAGATCAACACCCCCCCAGCAAAGGAAGGATTGGGACTGGGACTGGGGCTGGGACAAGCTGTCCAGCCAGGGTTGGAGGGTGCGGGACTCAGGGAGGGGGCTCCCACCACTGTGCACCACTGGTCCGGGAGGGCATGAGAGCGAGCGTGTGCCCCCGGATCTGCACGGGGCAGGCTGAGCCAAGCTGTACTCCGGATGGGTGGCGGAAGGCACCGGGAGTGGGGGCTATGCCCTCCCGCTGTTCACCCAGCCGGGGTGGGGAGGCGCGAGATGGTGCTGTGCTGCCTTTGACAAGCGGTGCTCAGCAGCAGAAGCCGCTGAAGCCTCCCCGTGCCTCCCAAACAAGCCATGGCTTCACCCCTCCCCACCCCGGCTGGGCAAGCAGCGGCAGGGCATGGCGGCAGGCGCATGCACCTGAATCACGGCTGGGCCGGCAGCAGGGGCAATGAGGAGGTTTAGGATGGCTGCAGCCCCACCCATAGCCCCTACTCCACTGCACTCTGCAGCTCTGGGCTGGGGCTGGGGCTCCTGTGAAGGTTATTTCAGAGGAGAGCGCAGCCCTAGCTCTGCCCATCCCATGGAGTGCAGCCTGGCAGCGGGTGACTTGGGCTAGCTGCCCAGAGCACAGCCCTGACTCCACCTGCCCCATGAAGTACAGCCGGAGTGGGTGGCTGGGACCAGCCTCCCGGAGCGCAGCCTGGCCCAGCCCACCCCATGCAGACCCAGGGGCCCACACTCACTCCCATGCCCTCCCAAACCGGCAGCGCACAGTGGCAGGAGCCCCCCTCCCTGAGTCCTGCACCCCACCGCCCTGGCTGTGCAGCTTGTCCCAGCCAAGCCCAAATCCCTCCCTCACTGTGGGGTGTTGATCTGCCTCCCCCTGTGCCCCTTCCCTGCCCCCTCTACCCACCACAACAGACTTACCAGCTGGAGGCAGCTGTGTCCAGTATCGTTGAGGACTGCTGCCTCTACAGTCTATGGCCAAATTTCTGAATTGATTCAGAGGCTTCCAATTTGATTCCTGATTCGATTCACATTTGGAGATTCGACTGCTGAATTGGGCTGAATCTCCTCCAAATCGAATCGGCTACTGAAGCTTTGCATAGCCCTTATTGATAGCACTTTCTGCAGAAGAAGCCTGACAAGCAACAGTACAAAGTGCCATCCTAGAAAGGAGCAATAACGCCTCACGAGAGCAACTTTACAACCCTCCTGAAGTCACTTCACCCTACACAATCCATTTACCCGGCTTAAACTGAACAATGTGCATTGCCGAGCAATAAGCATCACAATCAACTCTTTTGGTGAGTAGAGTCTTGTGAACTGAAGTAAGCCATTGGTTTTTGGTATCACTAACACATTTTCCATAAATAAGAGCTGTAGGAGCAGGCCCTTCAATATGGAGACCAATGTTATACAAAGAGGCTTTGATGTATTTAGTATCTTGCAAAATACGAAAGGTGTATGGCTGAGGGGAGGGGAGTCCCTTCCCTAATGTGTCAAAAGTGTTGGCATTTAAAGGCTGCATTCAAACAAGCAGGTCCTAGCAGGATTTTCAAACTTCATTTATCCTGTGTGTTGTGTGTGTACATACGCGACACATAGGGGGGTCACAGGGAGGCACGTGCTGCCCCCCCTACCCTGACAGTGAGTGCTCTGGATGGTTGGGGGACATGGAGAGAGCTGATGCCCCCAAAATTGGCACCACTGTGCTGCATGCACAAGTGCCAGCACTTCCGCTGCCGCCATGCCGCCGGCGCGCTCAGCAGACAGCCGCTGGCACCCCTGCAGTTGCCGGCTGGCTGCTGGGGCAAGGGGCCCCCCCAGGTCGTGCCCCACTGGTGCCCTCCCCAACTCAGAAGGCACCAGTTGCCCTTGTGTGTATGTGCGTCTGGGCTGTGTCTTTGAGAAAAGCTCTGGTCCTTCTCTGTAGTATATGAGGGTAAAGTTGGAAGGGAGTGGTTTCTAATGCTGCAAGTGGAAATCCTATAAAAGACAGAGCAGTGGAATGAAACTTTAACAGTATTGTAAAAATGTCAGTCTGAGATGCACAGCATTGTAATGTAATACATCGTACCAAATAAAGCTAGTTTTACAAAATAAAATCCTATGCTATCTATATTTAATAACACAGAGACTAGTCAGTTTCTGTAGACATTCTACAATCCAGAAATGCTAGACATCTCATTGCAACCAGAGAGCAGGTATCTTACATTTTTCTTTCCTTAACTACTTTTGTGGAAACTCCCATTGATTAGTTGTCTGGCACTAAAGCTAAGCTTGTAGTAATTATTTCTCATGCTAATGCACTGAACAATACCTAATGAGTCAGATTCTGCTCGCAATCCCAAACTAATCTAATAAAGTTCAATGAAATGCAGTGTACTCCAGATTTAGTGGCATACGTCAGAAAATAATTTGGCTTATCCCATCCAAGTAAAAATGTACATCCAGACTGGGTCATACAGTGAAATTAAAGCCATGCACAGTGGATTCTTAAAAGTACTTCTCTCCACCCAAAATACTAACAACAAGTTCTGAAGCTCAGGAATATGTGATATGCGCTCTGCTATTCTACAGTTTTTACATATATTCACCTCATTTCACGAATTAGTTGGAATAAAAGAAACTGAAAACTACTTACCCTTCTGCTCTGAACACAAGGGGTAACATCCAAAGCCAAAACCTTTCGAAACTTGCACTTGCTAATGTTTGTGATTATTACTGCCTGGTAATACAGATGTCTGACTAGAATCATTTTAAGGAAACTCATTCAGCTTACAAATATGCCATAAACTTTTTAGCAACTTGGAACAGGACTGCATTGTTTATAGGGATAAATCTGCATCAGATCATGTCTGCAAAAAAGAGGAATAAAGCCAGCAAAGAGAATGCTTGAACATAAAGCAATGGAAAATATCAGGATTACTTTGCAATACATCACCCTAAATTAAGAAGATTGTTGAATGTAAAGAGAGCTTTGGACTGTACAGAAAGTTTGGGCTGTACATTTTAAGATGCATTCTTGCTGAGCCATGAGTAACAAAGAAGTTTGCATTTACCTTTACGCAAACCAGAATCAATGATCTGCACTCACCTTGGCTGATTTTAATATTTGTCTGTGGGAAGGCCTGGGTGCTGAACAAAACCATGGAGAAGAGCACACAGAAATCCCCCCTGGCCACCATCACTGACTGAGGACAATATCTCATTCCCAGGTCTGCAGGCAGCCAGTTGCACGTAGCTCTTTTCCTCAGCCTGGGATCGCCTTGCTATGCCACTGAGATTCCTGGAGCAGATGTGGATATACTTTGTGTGCTGCACCCTCCCCCGAAACTACAGACTTTCACAGTGTCATGCAAGGAAGGCTGGCCAAGCTGCCTTCAGCGTAACACCACACTCCACAGAACGGAGAGGTTCAGAGCTGAGATACGGCTGAGCAGAGGCTGCAGACCATTTCACTGCCAGAAGTCACTCTTAAATCACCTTCTTAAGTTCCTGGAGGGTATAAGAACCTGCACACGGCCCAGCAGGCAGCCTTTCAAACGTTAAGCTCTTTAACCAAGCAAACCACATCCCTTGTCTGCTTTCCTGATTGCTGGATCAGAAGTTTTAAAGTAAAATAGTGCGTCTACTGACTTTCCTTCATCCTGACCCCCGATGAGCACAGCTGTACTACAAGGGGTCCTTGACAGCAATAGGGCACTGCACCTAGAGCAACACTGGGGATGAGAACGGGGTTAAACCAAGTGCTTCAACAGCGGAAAAAATTATACCTTTCCCATGATACTACAACTTCAAGCAAGCAGTGCCTGAGTGAGAGGGATGTCTATGATCACATCAGCAAAAGACAGCAGCCAAGGAGATGCGGCCATTAATTTAAATCCCAGTGCTGGAAGTCTCTTCATTTCCCCTAAGCTCAGATGAATCCTCATCGCAGTCCAGGGACACTGGAGTCATTGGAACAGTTGGCTGGATTGGGTCTGATTTGTCATAATTAGTTTAATTTAATTTTTAATCTGTTACTCTGAACTTTATGCAGCCAAGCTGCATTTATGAAACCAGGGCTGGATTGAATAAATGAACATAGCAAAACTTTCAATATTTTATTCATTTGCCAAACAATACATAAGGGGAAACCACCAACCCTGCCTGAAGGAATAGGTTTTTTCCAACTCACTGTCTTCAGGCGTTATGCTGCTGCTCATCAATGAGTATCTGAGCACCTTCTACACGCATCCAATAACAACCCCAAAGTCTCTGGTCAACTTCGTGGAACCTCTGAGACGTCTCTCTTTTTATGTTCAAAACTTTGCTTGGGGAAAAGTTTCTTATTTCCTCTTTTCACGGTTTTACTGGTAGGGGTGAAGGAGGAATAGTAAATGGTGGCAGAGCTGTGTCGTTCTTCCAGGCCTGGTCCTGTCCCCACTGGAAACCTGAGGCCAGCTCCATAGACCTCACACTGCTGTATGTCATCTTCTCACCTACAGATTAAGTTTAAGATTCTCCACAATTTTCTGGAACCTAAAGCTACTCTGCTCCCCAGTTTTCACAGAAAAGAGAAGATAGAAGTGATTTCAGGCAGGGACATGCAACATCTGGCCCATGGAGCCACTTGATCTGGCCTGTGAAGTTGGAGCGCTTTGCATATGCCCGCAGCCACACCGGGGCTGGGCAGCAAAATGCCGAGCCAGGGCTGGGCAGCTGGAAGGGAGAGCTCTCCGTCGCTGATGTGCTGCTGAAACCGCCAGCCCACAACAGACTGAAGCGAGGCTTTTCCAGCCCATGGCTTGTAAAAGTTGCTGGCCACTGATTTACAGAAACACAAAGAGCGGTCAGCATTCAAACATACTAGGATTGTTCCAGCAGCAGCAATGGCCGATTCATTCACCTGTCCAAGAATTCACTTATTTAATTTCATTTGCATTTAGCAACATCTTAAGGACTTTTTTGCCCCCTTTTCACTGAAATCACACAGAAAACAAAGCAATATGGCTCAAGGAGAAATCTACTGGTGTTTCAAGCCACTTAATGAAAAGGTACTCAAGTTACAAGAACATACAACTAAAGGCTTCTTTGCACTTCCTAATAAAGCTCATTAATATGCTACCCCCAAATAAACTAACACTAAGGTTGCAAGTGATTGTCAATCATACGTGGAGAAAAAGTCTTGAAAGCATTAGTTTCTGCAAAAAAAAAAATCCACAAATACACAATTATGGATACCCTTAAAAAATATAGGAAAGAATAGAAAGTATGGAAGGCATAGAGATTTCCCAAATAACCTACAGGGCTGGATCCCAGACATCTCGCACCACAGAAAGGATATATAGCTGTGTGTGACTATGTCCTTTTATAGCGATTCAAGATATTGCAGAGCATCCATGCATTGGGCTGGGTTTGCACAAGCAACATGTTTATATGCAGTTTAGTCATTAATTTGCATACTTGCAGCTCATAAAGTGCATGGACATTAATTACAGATGGATGTGTCTACAATCCATCCTACCCACCCCTTCTGCTTTTGTCAAACGTTTGGCAGTATCATTTGGCTTGTGTTAGAAATACCCATTCTTCATAGACCACTTGATCTGGCCTGTGGGCTTTTGCCACCCAGCCCATGGCTGCTTTGTCTTACCAGTGATGTGCACAGAACTTTTTATGCTTTCTGCTCTCTGCTTTCCTCAGGCCCATTTCCATGTTGCCTACTAAGTTTTGAACTCCATATTCAGTGTGCTAAGTGCCTGCCCTCCAGTTCATATGCCATGCCTCTGGTCGTCTGGTGTGGTTTGGGTCTGATTTGTGTTCCCATTTATCTTAGAATCATAGAAAATTAGAGTTGGAAGGGACCGCAAGAGGTCATCTAGTCCAGCCCCCTACTCAAAACAGGACAATCTTATGCTACTCCAACACCACATTGGCCATTTGACTGCAAAGCAAGGAGAGGATGTGGCTCTAAATACAGCCTTATGACAATTCACTGCATTTGGTATGATCCTTTATTCAGCGCCTCAGCAAATCATAGTACAGGCCTCACAAGGTTTGTATCTGATAATCTAGTTGGCCTCAACAGATGTGTGCAGTTTGTATTGTAGCCTGGAAACCACATAGATGTCAAACTGTCAGAGCCAGTGATCACTAAAGCCACTTCCATTTGTACAAGGATCTTAAACGCCAATGACAGAGACAGCTTGATTCTCTGCAGAGTATGTTTGCATAGGACTCCTCCATATTTCCCTCTAAATGACTCTGATGAACCACAAACTTACAGCTGCTCACAGGAGGATCCAGGAGCACTGGGGATACCAGGAAAAGTCCAGAGTTTTGCCATGGACTTCCTTGGGCCAGTGTTTCATGTGCTAACAACTACCTTTGGACAGGTGTATTGACTGGAAGGTAAAAATTAGGGGGGGGAACCACACTCCAAGGTTTCATGTCAGAGGGAAAGAAAGAAGGGGACCCCCATCCTGCCTCTGTGGCAGTCAGTGGAAGACTGCCACTGGAACACCAATGGGTGCAGACAAGACCCAAAGGGTTTATAGTTTTTGTTCCAAACTTGTTACCTTTCCCCAGATCAGCCACCAGCACTGCCAGAAAGCAGCTACCAGTTGGAAGGGCCTTAGTATAAGAAATGAGTTCACCACTGTGCTGTACCATACCTTCATCCAGAGCTATGACACAAGGTATCTTAGAGAAGGGCAACACAAGGTCTGCTATGCTACAGTCCTCTGCCAGTCACACACTGCTTTGGAGTAGGGATGCTGTGCAGAAGACAGAATATTTCCCATTGCAGACAGTGGATTTCTCATGCACTCCTTCCCTAATAGGAATATTCTTCAGAGCTGGTCCTCCCTAAGTTGCTTCTCAGGAATCAAACCCACTGAAGTCAGCTGAAAGAGTACAGAATATGCAGCACAGATGGTGATGCCCATCAGATAGGGATTTTGCCAGCCTTTGCATTATGCCCATGTGTTCAGAATTGGTAGGTACTGCTTAATTTCCTGTTCTAATAGTTTATATCAAGGCCTCCCAATTGTGTGATTGCAGTTACTGTCCTGCAATCATTTTTGATGCTCTGTTTTGCATAGTCACATTTGGAAGTGTCTAGCTATTACACTATTCTTTTTCCTCCAGCTCCTTCCTATGTGATCAAGTTTAATTGGCTTATGAATTAAGGAACAGCCAAATCCTGAAGCTGTGCAAGATGATCTAGGTTCACAAACTCTGTGGGGAGATTCTGGTTTGCTGTGCAATGCAAAGGGCCCTAAACATGCCCTAAACCTGAAACCAAGGAGTCCTGCAAAGTGATCCCAGCTTCAGCACTGAAATTCTAGGCTCAGTTCAGTGGGCTTCATAGCCTTCTGCTCCCCAGGCACAGACGCCCTGT